ACTAATTATAGATTTTTAAACCTTATATCTCAAAATTCTAAACACTAAAAAATGTTTTAACCCCTAAACCCTCATAACTAAATCTTAATAGAACATAGTTAACCCAAATATAAATAATATAAAATTTTTTTTTTTAAAAAAATGGCATTTTTGTAAAGATTTAAAAAATGTGACATTTTTATAAAATAACACTTTTCTATTTTTAAAATTTCTCTTTCAGCTTTTGGGTTAATGCTATCCATAGCAAGTAATCTTCCTCTTGATCAACTTTCTGTTTTTCTAATCCAAATCTTTAAGACATAGATGGTAGATTTTTCTACTCTGGTTCATGAACTTGACAGAGCAATGAACAACAAAACATGCCTTATATATTAAAGAGAAATCAAACATCTCTCATATTCGTACCAAACCAAACAGGTCGATAAACAAAAATCCATAGCAGGAAAGACAGAAAAATGAGAAGAGTTTCTCTAAGGTCTCAGAAGATTTCTAGGTGGGTCTTGGAGTAGCCCACTCAACCCTGAGGATGAGGTTATCATAACCATAACCATTCAATTTGTTGATTGCTCGTTGAGCGTCTTCTCTGCTCACGAAATTGACGAAACCGAATCCTCTGCTCACTCCAGTTTTCTGATCGATTGCCACGTAGACACGAGTGACAGCTCCAAACGGATGGAACAGCTCCATCAAGTCTGGTTCACGGGTATCTTCAGACAAGTTAGTTACACGCACAGAGTTCTCGTCGTTCCTTCTCCTCATGTCTGAACCAGCAGCGTTTCTGTCTGCACCTTGTCTCATGCTAGGCGGGATATAAGCGGCCTTGCCAGTTCCAGGTGCAGCAGGTGCGCTAGATGTTTCACCTGTGGTTGGCTTGTCGATGAAGACATCTGTTGGTGCAGCTAGATCCTTGTAAGGGCATTTTGATGTCCAGTGATCTCCTTTCTTGTGGCATATCCTGCACACCATGAGGACTGCACCTGCTTTACCACCTAGCTGAGACAAGTCTCCTCCTGCCTTCGTTTCATCCGTTTTGGCACCTGAACGATCACTAACCGTTTAGATCCGAGAGCAGCAGAAATTGAAAGTTAAACATTTCAAGATACAGGAAAATAAACAGTACTACATAGCTACAGAATTACATAAATAATGGTAAGATTTCCTGAGCCAATGGCCAACTTATAGTCAAGTCAACGAAATGATAACAGTAATACATAGCCATACTTAGAATCACATAGCAACCTATTTCCACAGCAGAAGCTACCAACTAAGTATCATATATTCTGGCTATACGTACAAGTCATTCACATATGGAGAGCTAAAAACACAAAAGAAGATGTTTCACAGAACAAAAGCTTGAAGATATAATAATCAAAACTAAAGCTTCACATCATCAAATAAGAGAAAGCTGCAACATTTATGTGTACAGTTTAGCAGCCAAAAAAGTGAGGGCCACATTTCTGCTCATACTCGAAATGGACTACAAACAATTAACTGATATTGGTGACATACTGACCAATCAAACAAAGAAGTAGCCGCATGGCTAACATATATGATCGGCTAATTGGTCACCTCGACATTAATGATTTAGAACATGACCCATAATCAAACAATGAATGAGAATCGGTCCAAGTTAGAAGGTGAGAGTTTACTAATTTATTCACACAATTAGCAGCCAAAAGACAGAACAAGATCAAATGTTACCAGCCCAATTAAGATCAAAGAGCACAAATTTCTAATTTACCAATCTTTTAGCGATAACCCAACACAAAATAAACCACTATGCAGAAATGATTTGAATCCAAAATCAATGAATCCCAGAAGAAGAAGAAATTAATAAAACTCACGAATCAAAATGACCATAATCATTATCAGAGAGACAGAATTTACCAGGAGCCCTTGGTCGTTCGAGAAGGATCTCTTCGGTTGAAACCATAGTGAGACGACTACCAGCGTCTTCATTGGCGGCATCTCCGAACTTAGTCCAGCTCCTCCTCTCCACGGCTCGTTTGTTGAGCCTCGCGGAAGCTAGCTTTCGGACACGTGTCCTGGTCGTGATCTTAACCTTATTTCCCTCATCGTTGAACTTGTACTCGATCACCGTCTTCAGACCGTTCTCGTCTGGGCCAATCACTTGCTTGGGAGGGAGAAGGAAATCGAGATCGTCGTCTTCGTCCATCTCTCCCCATCGGAACTTGCTCGTTTTCTGCTGCGAATCGATCGTCATCTTCTCGTTTTGGATTCAGATGCGCCGCTTATGCTTTCGATTTTGTAAACCTAAAACTGAATGTGAAAGAAAGCTCTCTTAGGGTTTCGTATCTTATCTGTGCTTCTGTAACTCCGCATTTAACTCGAAACGCTCCGTTTTGGTCGGCGCAAATGTTTTTTACGGTTTTTTCAGTAACCTGGTGGTCTCGTGATCGAATCTTACTCTCTTCTCAGATTTTATTAGTTTTTGGGACTTTATTTAGCCCATTTCGTTCATTAATGGGCCTAAGTGCTCTCAAGGACCTGATTCCTCTTCTTTTATCAGAACTGATCCCACAAGCAAGCACACATGTTTTGTCTCCCAAATTTTTCAAAACAGAATTATTATAATGCACTGCACTATTCTATGGAAAGGAAGATATTGTAAAAGCTGAATCACTAACAACACTGTAAAAGCTTTTTAAGAGTATGAACATCACTACAACAGAGACTGTATATTCTGCCTTGGATTTCAACCTTGTGGTTCTAGTCAACTACAACTAGAACAAAGACAAGTGACCTTATAGTTACTAGCTAACTAGAAGATAAGAATAACTGCGATTGTTGTTTGCACACATGATGGAAGGATATTGAATTCATGCCCTAACTTGAAACCGTGATGTCCCACTTGGTTTTGCTGCAAGTTTCAAGCTTCTTGTTGAACTTTAAAGTTCACTATAGTTGCGCCAGACAGCCCGGAATTCTTCACGGAATGTGTTCAAGCGTGCCTTGAGGTTTGGAGTTCTTAGGGTTGCGTGAAGAATGATCACTAATGGAGAGAGAAGAATTCAAAGTCAAAAGATAGAAACCAGACCAAAAACAGAAACAAAACTGAAAAGGTGGAAAGAAAATTTCATTGGAAAGTCCGAAAGTGTAATAACTTACTGAAAAGGGCAGTGGTAAGTGCATATAGAACCCATAACAAACCGCAGGAAGTAAACCACAGGACAAAACTGGCTGCATAAGGGAAATCAGTACTTTGCATCAGTTCACTACCAAGTTGCATATCAATAAGTGAGAGAGTTTATATGACTTAAGGGATATTGAGTTTGTTAAGTACCTATAAAGCCAATCAAGACGAATACCAAACGTGGTTGGCCGCAAATGTACACTGTCTTTCTAGCTGCAGATCGCCCACGAATGACAGGCCTGAAAGGTGTTCACAAGTAATGGATTAAAAAAACCCATCTATAAATCTTCCATGGAAATAAAATCAAAAGAACTCACATGTGGGGAGGCCTCATCTTTGCAGCTAAATGTGGCGAGAAATGCCTAATGGTCCGAATCATCTTCTCATTAAACGTAGCTGCAAAACTACAAAAGACAACAAAAACCCATAGAGTTTGCGCGTTCGATAGAATACCAAGGAACACACACACATGATTGCCTATAAATACAGAGCCCGCAAATCAATTGGTAAAGCAAAAAAAACAACCAAATCACTGGAAAATGAGAGCCTTGCAACACTCAATATTAAGAACAACCACCATAACCTATTGAGTCTAATACTAAGCACAGCCACTTCAAGGGCTAATCACTAAATATAGAGAACCTCCTTCTAAACATTCAATAGATGCAAACCAACACCAACCGGAGCAACGATAAAAAGTAGAAACTAACGAGAAGTTACAGGAAATACCTGTCGTTTAGAAAAGCTAAGCTTAAGGCTGTAAGAGCAGCACCAAGAATGGCCAGAGGTCGGGTGATAAGTGCAAGACCTGAGTACACAAAAGGGGGAAAAAGTTATCAAGTGTTAAAACACAGCTCAAGAGGATCTTAAATCAAAAACCCAGATTTCTCATTCACAGCTCAAAAACAAGAAATTTAACCAAGCGTTCGACATACCCAGAACGAAAATCAACAGGATGAAGTAATTCGTCCTATAGCTGCAACAGGAGAGGATAAAATCAAAATCATCACCACCGATTTGCAAACAATAGAAAGAGAGAAAAAGGGTAAAATACTAGTAGAGATTGCATTTGAGACGGCTCATCCATTTAGAGAAAGAGCGAGGAAAAGCGAATCTGGAGAAGAACTCGGCCAAGGAACGAGGACTCGTCGACCATTCAACCTCTCTCAACGCCTCAATCACATCCTCAGCTGCAACGCTATCCCAATCCATCTCTTTCAAGCAGAAACAAACAATAATCTGCTCCGAAGAAGATTGGAAAAAATTAGGGTTTGATGGGGTTTTTGCAATCGGATTCGAATTTGTAAGAGTGTTTTAGGGATTTGGATTCGCTGATGTTTTGGTTCTCAGGTTTTGTGTTTGTTTGTTTTTTTTTTCCCTGTGGTTCAAGCAAAGGGGAAGAAAAAGGCGTGCGTTAGCAGATGATGACGTGGCAAAAAAACATAATGGTGGTTAAAAAAAAAATGTCTGAGCCCGGGTTCGAACCGGGGACCTCTAGTGTGTGAGACTAGCGTGATAACCGACTACACCACCCAGACGATATGACAATTCACCTAATGTATTGTTTCTATTCACAAAATAAAACAAGAAAACATTGATTTACAAAGTGTTTGCTGTTTCGTTTGTGACTTGTACCACACCGTGCCGTTCCAGATCTACTAGTTTCCGTTGTTCAACTTATTTAACTCGATTTTTGCCGCTATGTTAGTTTAATGCGATAAAAATATTCAATTTTCATAAACAAGTGGAGATATTAGTATAATGGATAATAATAATTCAAGCTTCACCAACTATGAGAATCATTTTCGAATCTTGTTTCTATATGATCCACCATTTTCCATCTTTACCATTTCAGGCATTTATTCTCTCTACGAAGAAGTTGGTTTCAGAGAGCAAGATCGACATGGCAGCTCGAGGTCTGTTGATTTCTTCTACTCCTTCTCGCCTTGCTTAATCCATATCCTCTGTG